TATATATATATATATATATATATATATATATATATATATATGATGCATAATGGTTTCTATCATATCAGATTATATAAATACTAATATTTTGGAATGAGAATAAAAAGTAACAAATAATCGTTTAAACATATAATTATCTAATGAAATATATAATTAAACGTAATGTGAAAAGAAAAATTATAAAAGGGAAATTTTCAAATAGTGTAGATTAATGCATAAAATTAAATGCTTTACGAAAGAAAAGAAACACCCAGCCCCGCATATTCGCTACGAAACGACATTTCTAAAAGTGCACCGACAATTGAAGAGAACGAATTAAATGTACGATCGATAACTCTTCCCAAGAATTCTATATCGTTGGACTCGCTTTTTTTTTTTTTTTTCTTTTCTAACTACCAATGATAGAAATACTGTACATCAGTTCGTTTGAAACTTTTCAGTTCAACATCACGGTCCTTCGATACATTCGAATACGGGAGAACGCTGTCAATCGTGTACAATTCAAACATTCGTAATTGACGCAAAAAAACAGATAATTGAGACGAACAAGTAGATATTATACAAACTACAAGTACACATATTTTATTTTGTTTTTCTTCTTCATTCTCGTTTTTCATAAAATCAGAATTTAACTTCCTTCAATTAAAATTTGTAAAAAAAGAAAAAAATAGAAGATAATCGATTGAACAACCTCCATTTTCTCTCTTTTTTTTTTTTTTTTTTTGTTAAGGTACGTTATGCAGCAATCACACGGAAAGTAATGACTTCGATGGTGTGGCGTTAAATAATAACATATCGAGCTAATGTAATGACTGTTATAGTATAAAAGCGGTATTTAACATTGGATAATATGATTTTTTTTGATCACACGAGAAAAATTACACACGACCTACTACTACTTATAAGGGAGTCCATTGCTTCTTTTTTTTTTTTTTCTTTCTCGTTACATCTATTTGTTTACATTCACGAACTCAATAACAGTTCGAAAGGAGATTTTTAGTTCATAGAAAGCAATGGATATATTGATTATTATGAGTACCACATACGTATTTTGCAGTTGAAGGGATCAATGTACCAGCAAGCCTTCGTGAAAAAACACATTTCAAA